AATTTGTCTGTATTTTGGTTATTGTAATTATCAATTTATGACTTGTCAGACAAATCCGGTAGAACTAAAAGTTTTAAATGTTATAGGGAATATAAATTTAATTATTTAAAGTTTTTTTTTATGATATTATGTTGGTCCAACTCATCTAAAAAATAAACTATTTATCATTTAAATTATATTATTTGTTGAAACTCTAGAAATTATTACAACTTTGAAGAAAAATTCTAGAGGATTCTGGGATTTTCACCAACCTACTTCTTCCATCTTCCCTAACTGACACTTGTAGAAAAATCTGGAAAAATGTTTGCAGCCACCGCTATGCTAGAATGATCCATAACTGACTTTGCTACCTACATATATGTGTGTTGCTGTATATGTATGCTTGTGTGAAAAAGAGGAGAGAGTGACAGATAGGCAGTAAGCGAGAGAGGAAGTGGGCCTAGTAATTTAGTGGGATAGTGGTGTCCTCTAGTTAAGTAAGTGCGAGTGAAAGTGTCAAGTGTGTATAAAATTATTTTACAATAAAATAATATTTTTGTGGATTTAGACTCAACAATTTTGTATCAGTGTGAGGTGGTCGATGACGGATTTTTGAGCTTCGGGTGTTCGTGCATAAAATGAGATTGTGAAGCTTTTATAAAGTTCACTTGATTACAAAAAGATAGATCAAGCCACGACGAGTGACTTACAAGTGGTAGGTGGAGTAAAGAAACTCAATAATCAAAATTACACCACATGATAAATTTACTTGAAGTCGTATTTCTAAGGACAAGACTTGTGGGAAGTTGTTGGTGGAAGTGATGTGATGCCACCGGACGAGGTCAGAACTCTGAAGTAATGGAGAATCAAAGCAGATAAGGCTGTCTTCGTTATAAAGACGACAATCAAAAAAGAATTACTGGATCACATACGGGATAAGAACACACCGAAGGAAGCACGAGACACTTTGGCCATATTATTCTCAAATAAAAATGACTTGAGATTGCAATTACTGGAAAATGAGATACTCTCGATCACTCAAGGAGAACAAACGGTAAGCCAATATTTTAATAAAGTTCAATCTCTTTGTCGCGAAATTTCAGAATTAGATT